TTATGTTTCAGAAAGCCAAAGCACGGAGAACTCACTCCATCAGGCCGGACTGCCTGCACTCCAAGTCCTGCCCTGCACCACTCAAGTTAACCTTTGGCTGTATTTCCCTACAGTCTTCTTTCTCAGACTCTGGGACGATTCATTTACGTAGCTGTACTTTTATCAGAGATACAATGGTGAATCCTCATTTTCCTGGCTTGTAATGTATTCGTCGTGTTTTTCATGTGCTTTTATAGTCTTCATTTTAATAGCTGTGTGTCTTAGCAAGCTTTAGTGAACGAAGAAATGTTTACTAATAAAGAGCTTTCCATTCTTGGCACCTGCAGCATTTGGAAGGTATATTTTATATACCATTCTCCACAGATGGCACTGGGGAGAGGAGACAGGGGGCTCATGCTTTGTTCCCCATCCAGGGCCCCCCTGGGGATGCGGGATGGTGCAGGGCACGGCTCTGGGGGTGGAGCCCCCGCGGAGATGGCCTGAGGCAGGTAGCAGGTGACTTTTCAATCCTCTACTCTTCTGACTGAACATACATTCTCCCTCCTCCCTTGTAAAAAAGCAAGTTTTCATTTTCTTAGGGTAGTAAAAATCTTTTGTGTGAAGAAAAGGTGTCATCAAGTGCCTTATTCATCAGCATATATACTATCTCTTTAAAATGACAGTGGGAGTAAAAGTTCATCAGTTCAATATGTCTTTCACATTTGGAGACTCCTGACTAATAACCTCTGGTATTTATCATCAGCACAGCCAGAGAACTGAATTCTGGCACATGCTGCTCGCACGCACTGAGAAAAACTTAAAAAGACAAAAGATTTTCTCCATTTTTTTTCCTTCTTCCATTCATTTAGAAGAAAAAAAGCATATATATTTTTTTAATTAGAAAAAGATATGAGCATGCAGAAAACATCTGGCCTATATTACCCTAGCAGCGTCCTAGATGGCCTCCTCGTCTCCAGTCTGCCCTTTTAACATCAGCTCTACACAACAGCCAGCAAGAGTTTTCTAGAACAGACCTGCCCCAGTCACTCACCCACACTGTTGCGTCTTCTTCCAGGACTCCTTCAAGGCTCTTCGAGTGGAGTAGCCACCACCCCAGCGGCCCTGCCTGCACCTGTCCCGGCCTCACCAAGCAGCTGGGCCCCTGCCCTGCAAGTCCAGGCCGGGCGTGAGCTCCCGCAGCTCCTGCCCCGCACTCGTCACTCCCCTGCGGAGCGCAGCCTGTCCTCTTGCTTTTACTTGGACAATAGGATACTTTAAATTTTTTAAAATTAAATCTCATGAGGCAGGACATATCATTGCTCAGCGTGCTCAAGGCCCACCGGCGGCTTCTCCGTTCTACACTGAACCCGAACTGCACATACGCTCTGTGCTGGGTCCTGGGGGGCTGCTTGCTCGTCTTTCACTCAACAGACTCGAAGCTGCGTGTGCCGAGATTTTGCATTAACTTTGTATCGACAGGCCTGGCAGAGACTGCTCAAGAAATATCTGTTGTATGAATTTACGCTTAAAAAAAAAAGCCAAAAGACTCACTAACTCTTTTTAGCCTTTCTGTTCACAAACATGAAACTCGGGGACTTGGCGGACGCTAAGAGTATTCCGTGGGGATGACCAAGAGTCTGTGTTCGTGACGGGATGCGGCTGAGGCTGAACCACTTTGGATCTGTACGCCTCTGGATGCGATGATCGTCTTCCCCACTCTCCTGCACAAGGATATCCAGCTCCATCCTTCTGAGCCCTCCTGAGAGTCGTCCTTCCCATTTGTCACAGTCCTGTCCATTGATGCCTCCGTTTCCTTAGTTTCATTTCATATCCACGTGACCTCCATCTGCCCATCACACTGGGCACTTCAGAAATGTGAATGGAATAGGATTGGATGTAAGGTCTGCTCACAATCTAAGGACAATCAGCATGCTCACCCGAACTTGGATCCTGCCAAGGAGTCACGTGCCCAGACCTGTACAAGCCGGCGAGGCTGGAGGTTGCAGGGGTGGAAATATCCATTGGTTGACCACAGATATGTCGTCTTTTTGATAATCTAGTCCTTTGTCTCAGTCACTGTATTTTCCATTTCCTTAGTGATCGCCCTGCTAGTCATTCACTTACATGCTGCTCTCAAGACACTCAAAAAGATGTGGTGTCTCACAGGACCCAGATGACTCGTATTTGTGGAATTTCACATCATCAGTGACGCAGGCCTGTGGTTCCCGTCGATGGCCATGTCGTTGCCATAAATTAGATCTCCAGAAAATGCCTCGCATCCTCGGGGAGTGCTGCGGGGGTTTCAGGGGGACGGTATACCATAAGGCATTGGCGAGAGAACGTGTTAGTAGCACAAGAATGGAAATGTGTCCAAGGATCAAGTTCAAGGAAAATAAAAAGAAAATCCTTTTGTCCAAGCCTCCTTCCCTAGGGAAGAGGTGGGGGTAGAATGGGGAGAGCTTATGACAGAATCCTTTAGCAGCCAGAAATTTCATTGACAATTTGGCCAATGGGCCTGCTTGGCTGCCGTCTCTGAGACCCATCGTGAATTCCTTAGTTGATGTCATTCATGGTTAATGGGTGCACCTGAAAGTCAAGCAATATTGTACCATTTGGGTAATAGTTATATTAAATGGCTCTTTTCTGCGGCATCAAGCTTATCAGCTTATCTGTTTTCGAATAATGAATACCTCATCTCTTCCAATTTCCTGATCAAATGCTTCTACATCATCTCGAGGCAGAACCACGTCCGGCTGCATCTATTCTATACTCTTGGCCTCGATTATGTCAAATTATCCAGCCTACTCACAGGTTCTCAGGTTTTGCTGTGAGACATGGGCCTGATGCACCTCTTCCAAAGCTCATGATCGCCAGCCCTTCAGCACAAATCCCTCGTAAGTCAACAGAATGAAGGAGAGGATGAGGCTGACTTTACAGTTATGAGGGAATGTCTAGGGGTGTTTCTTCCTGTATCTTGGCACTATCGGGTTGATCTTCAGTGTTTTTCTTTTCCCCGTCTCTTCTCCTTGAGACACGCAGGTACCTCGTTCTGTGTCGCGTTACTTCCGAGTTGAGGATTTCCACGGCAGGGGCAGAAAGTAAATGTTTCCGCTATAAAATAATAACTATTTCATTTTTCATAAATATTATGTTATATGGGTTGCCCAGAAGCATCAGGCTTCTCATATATTGCCCTATTTTATCTTCTTCAACCAAATACCTGTAACTGAAAGAGAAAACAACATGAAATAGTGAGCACCCTTGGGGAAACCCAGTCCTGTCTCTTTCTGTCATGTTTGGCGAAACTTTGCTACTTCATATACTTCTAGTCAGATGAATTTTGGGGTCAATTTCTTTTTAGTCACAATTCTTATCTTTATACTTCCAGGCCTGATCTGCCCCTATTTCCTTTGTTTGCAGCTTCTTTTGGTTTTTGATCTTTGCTTTTTCTTCTGCGCTTTAAAAAGACCCCTTTTCTCCACGAAGAAAAGGAGAGCCCATACTCAGCACGGCACATCCAAGACGACTCGGGAAGCATTTCCTTCTCCTGCTAACACGTGCAGGTCCCCACGGATGCTTGGGGCCATGCTTTCTATCCCTAAATTGTTATTACTTGACACAGTGTACAGAACAGGCACAATACATGGTTTATAAACAAATAAATGAATGATACCCAATTTCACAATTTATGGTTGTTTAACCTCTTTTGTCCAAATTGCATTCCAACCGGGACTGTCTCATCTTGAACTTCTGAAAATATCGTTGCTACTAAGTTGAGTGTAATGGGTACAGTTATGGCTCAGTGTTTATTTTAGTGAGAGCAAAATATGTTGTATATTTCAACAGAAGAGCCCTATCGCAGAGAAGCCAAAATTTGGCATGTAATATTTCAGAATCCATGCTCATTCCAATTAGTCAATGAAGGAATGCATCTTTATCCTGAAGATCAACCATTGGTCGAACTTACTGGTTACCATGATTAGTCTCCCCTGGACCTCCAGGAGTGGGAACCCCTATTAACATTCCAGAGATGGAAGAGTATTTGGAAAACCATCTGTGTTTCTTGAAATATAGAAATGGAAACCTTCACCTTCACGACGTGCTACTGTTGCCGTCCAGCAGCTACCCACCATCCCCGCAAACATCCATCGAACATTTTATATGTGACATGAGTTGGAGATAAATGTGAAACTGGCAATTCTTTCAAATTGCTTATAATTTGGTAGCCAGGTATAGAAACAAAACAGAATACAGTGTGATAAAGTCTACAATAGAAGCAGGTATAAAGAGCAGAGGGAACAGGGAGAGGGGGTTACTACCTCTGTGTAAGGGTGAGGGAAGGTTCCGGAAAGAAATGGCTCTGAGCTGGAATTCAGCATGACAGCAGGTGTTGTTTCTTGGATGACTGTCATGAGCGGAAAATGCCCCTGACATGCTTGATTTATTATTTTATAAAGCAGTGTCCCATTGTGAGAAATAAACTTTTAAAAATCAAAGTTTTGAAAAGTATTCCGCCTTCCCTGGTAGCACCTAAATCTGCCTCAATATTCTATGGTTTACATGATATCTGAGAAACAGAACCGACTACTATATTAATGGATTTATATATGTGTACCTAAGTCTGATATAATATATGCTGCCGATATTTTATGGTTTCATAAATAGTGCTATTACTAACATTTTTTAAAAGCGAAGGGAAGAACTCATATGTGCTAGTAGAAATTCAGTGTATTTTATAGAATGCTGCTATTCTTGATGTAGCCTGTGACATGTGACTTTTCATAAAAACCCAATGAACTTCTAGATTTGTCAGCTGTTTCCAAACAGATGCTCTCTGCTAATCTAATGGAAACATTTTGAGCCTAGACCCCAAATATCAATAGCTTTTAGTGTTGCAAATGCGCTTGTCTATTGAGTCTCTTGGACTCTGTAGTTCCTGATAAAAAGTAGCAAGTCATTTTGTATGGATGTTTTATGTCAACTGCCCTGCCAGGACCTGATGCTCATATTTTTCCTCGCAGAGTTTTAAGTTGAATGTCGACAGTCACTGTGCTCTCAAGGAAGCTGTGGAGGAGGAAGGGCAGCAACTCCTCGAGCTCATTGCGTCTCACAAAGCAGGTAAATCCTCCTGAAATACTGCAAGTCTTTATGCCTCCAGACTATTAAGAATGAAGAAGCATTGCTATAAATTACTGCATATATTCACCTCCTTATGTATTATTAATATTTACATTATCAGATTGACCTTCAAGATTTATAAATGTTTCATACACTGCATACAATGCTGTGATACTTATAAGATGAAATACTGCCTCCAAATGGTCTGTTCATTTTATTTTGGGCTTGCTGTTCGCCTGAGTTTCCATTGAAATCACATTCCTGAAAACTTCACATTGACATGCTTTTTGATGTAGGTGCTCTGGAAATAACATTAAGGTAATGAATGTGAATTGTGCATATAGCTATGATGCATATGCATTGAGGTACTTATAGATATCATTACAGATCAAGGCTAGCAGTCTAGAGATAGCTGATTATGTCCCTGCCAATTCACACACATGAACGTTTTGCATGTTCTTTGCTGGTCATTGCATTAGCAGAGTTTTGGCTTCACACCAGTGCTTGCCCCAGTTTTAATGTATTTGTGAGGAACAGATTATAAATAACAAATAGTTTTGTCATTCGGTTATACTTATCCTGGTAGTAAAAGACCGCAAGACAGGATGCATTACGATTTGGCTCTTACATTGAGCTCACCACAGTTAAATAAGAAAAGAGCAGCTAGTCGGATGTGCTGATGCTCAAGACTGCTGTCTTCATTCTGGCCCACTGACTGTATTTATTTCTCGTCAAATTAACTTTGCCTGTTTCCACACATCTTTCTGACCGTTATTAAGTCTCCATACAGGTACACATAGGACCTTCTATTTGGAATGTCAAGCTATAGTTAATAATTTTTATATATTGTGATTTTTGTTCTACATGCATTTTTTTTAAGTCAATATACTGAATCTAAGTCAATTCCACACCATGAATCTATGTGGTTATACCATTTTTGTGTCTTTATGCCATATGTCAAGTGAAAAACTCCCTGTCTCTATTCTGAGTGACAAATATGAATATGCAGGTGATGGTAATGGCCATTTGAAATTCAGCTAATTGTTTGAAACAACCATCCCATTTACTAGATAAAAAGTGATAATGGTACAAACGCAGTCAGGTCCGTAACTTGCGCTTTCCCCCTCCTTTGGAGAAGGACTAAAGGACATGCTGCGGATGATCGCGAGTCAATGGAAGGAGCTGCAGAGGCAAATCAAACGGCAACACAGCTGGATTCTCAGGGCTCTGGACACCATCAAAGCTGAGATTCTGGCTACTGATGTGTCTGTGGAGGATGAGGAAGGGACTGGAAGCCCCAAGGTAAGTAGCTTGAAGTTTGCCTTATTTTCTCTTATTTCCGTCTTCCTTTGAACGAAGCACCACTGAAGTTTTCTTTCCACCCCTAAGGATTTTCTTTTCTATTGTGTAAACTTTATCTCTCTCTCCCTGTATCTATATCTATTTCTATATAGATAAATATATAGATAAATACATATTGTTAGATAAATATATATAAATATAGAGATAAATATATAGAGAGATAAATATATAGAGAGATAAATATATAGAGAGATAAATATATAGAGAGATAATATATAGAGAGATAAATATATAGGTATATATATGTGTGTGTATATATGTGTGTGTATATATATATATATATATGGAGAGAGAGAGAGAGAGAGAGAGAGAGAGAGAGAGAGATGGAAACAAAATGAAATGGCTTAGTTTAAAACAACAAAAAAAGCCCACAACTTTCAGGCTTTCTAGGAACAGATCTTTTTGTGAAAAGTGACAGGGTAGGAGGGGGACAGTACTTTAGGGGCAGGAGAAAGGGGGACATAAAACATTTAGTAAACAAAACATAAAGCATCTTAAACATGAATAATCAAAATGGTTTTAAATTGTTTTGTTGCAACTATAAATCACTATAATCAGTGCAATCACTCAGCTCTGACATCCATTAGCCGCTTGGTTACAGCAAATTAACAAAGAAGAGAGAAAGTGATTCATTATCTCATTCCTGTTAATGACTATCAGATGCATTGCCTAATTAGGGGATGGTCATTGTAGTGGGAAGAAGGTCATATGCTTTGCTACAAATCTTTTTGCTCTGAGTGTAAGTTCTCCATAATGGTGCATGCACCGAATACAGCAAGTACTTTACAAATGAGTATTGACATGCTTTGGTTATCCATTTTAGATTTACAAAATAACTCTTAAAGCATATGCAGTCAAACTTTATTTTTATTCTTTTTTAGGAGGCACCTTTTAATACAATGTCCTAACCTTATCTTTGGACTCAATGTGGAAAAGGATTTTATTAATTTGATATTTTCATGTAATTCCTCTCTTCTTTTGTACGTGTTTTTTTTTTTTTTTTTTTTGTGAAAGTAAAATGCAGAAAACCAGTCTCGCAATAGACTCGGCATCGGAACATATTGTAACATAGGGGAAGCAGATCTAAGGGTTCAGTGTTTCATTCCTGGCATGGACAAAGTAATTAATTAAATCATCATCCAGTCATTTGTTCAGCATCCGTGTGGGTTGGCATTGTGTGAGATGTGTACAGAGCAAGTTAAACAAACCCTCTGCCCCCTCAGACTGACATTCCTAAGTGCAGGCGGGCGGGAGACCCCCTGCCCTGCGACGGTGAGACCACTTGGCCAGCGAAACGCTCGCGATTCAGAGCTGTGGAACCTCAAACCACCACCTCCACTTACTCGTTGGACACAGAGGAGGGGATGATGAACTCAGTTCCACTTAAAGAAGCTTCCGTGGAGGAGGTCACATTTCAGGGAATAGCTTGACGGAAGGAAGAGGCGCACATATTCTCAGGGAGTGCAGATGACAGGGTCGAGGCTGGAACCGGCAGTGTGACAGGAGAGCCAGGCGGCAGGCTCTGGGGCAGGACCGTGTGGGGGACGGCGCTCCAGGAGCAGGCGGCAGGGAGGTCGGTTGGACGAATGCTTTGACTGGGGCAGGGATGATGAGAGGAGACACGACTAAAACCTCCATTGTGTTTTGTTACCTACGCAGCCGTGACCGCGGGCCCACCTGGTCACAGCTGTCCTGTGCCGGACGCGTTCTGCACAGCAGGCCCCGTTCTAGGCACTTCTGTGTGTTGTCAACGAATTCTCCCAACAAACCTCTAAGATGGCCCTTTTATAGTCCCCGGTGGAGAAAATAGAGGCCCAGAGAAGTTAAGTAGCTTGCCTGAGATCACACAGGTGCTCAGTAGCAGAGCTGGGACTTGGATCTGAAGCGTTGGCCCCGGAGCCCACGGCCGTCAGCACCGCAGCGCTGCCTCCCACGGGCGAGGTGATGGGCAGCGAGCCTCGGCACCTGCCTCCGGCGCTCGTGGCGAGGTGGGGACAGACGTACATCGAACACCCGTGCCTTCCTGGACTGGGGTGTGCTGGAAAGAGGAGGGAGCAACCAGAAGCTGGTCTGGCAGAAGTGACTTCAATCAGGACACCAGGGAGGGCTTCTCTCAGGCAGCATCGTCTGAGCAGGCCAGTGTAATCAGAGGGGGGGGCAGTGTAGGGTCCAGAGAGGGGAAGGGTTTCAGGGGGAAATGATCATTGATTTGCAGCATGAAAACCTGTTCTTGGCTGTGGGGTGGAGGGGTGGGTGGAGGGGGGCGAGTGGGGTGAGGGCGGCCGGCGCGGAGGTGGCGCTCACCTAAATGCACCAAAGATCTGTGTTGAGAATGAGTAGCTCTGTTCGCCAGGGCCAGTTTGAACCTGACACTTTAAAATCAGTTCATTTTGTAGGCAGGTGCTAAGATGGAATAAAGACAATAGCCCAGCCCTGGCTGGTTTGGCTCAGTGGTTAGAGCGTTGGCCTGCGGTCCAGAGAGACCCTGGTTCGGTTTCCGCTAAGGGCGCGTATCTCGGTTGCAGTTTGTCCCGGGCCCTGGTTGGGTCCTGCGGCTGGCAGCCACTCGATGTGTCTCTTTCACATCGATGTTACTCTCTCTCTCTTCCTCCCACTCTATTTTGAACAAAAAAATGAAAAAATGTCCTTGGGTGAGGATAAAAAACAAAAGATAATAGCCCAATGAGAAGAAAGTACATATTACCAAGAGAGGACAATCTCAGCACTTTTCATAGAGGACTATCTGTCGTCCCCTGCCTCGCTGGGTCAGCACCCCCTGGCGGGCCCAGCACTCCACAGCTGCTGGGGAGACACCATCCCAGCCTCCACGGGGCCCTGTTCTCGCAGGGGTGCCTCATTCTCCCCAACCTGGGTTTTCACACAAACCAAAAGAGAGGAGAATTTAAATATTAAGAGGAAAAATAAAAACACCCCATTCCTAACGGTTTGGGTGCTAAACAAACAACAGCAATGAAAACCCTCTCTATTTGACATGTCTCCAAAGTGAAAATGTCTTCCTCGAGTCACCTCAGTTTACAAAGAACAGCTTATGTTTTTCTTGTTAATGGTATTTCTAGTCCACAGCATTTCATGTCACACTATGTACACAGCACGTCCCGAAGCAGCTGTGAGGAGCGGCTTTCGTAGGCGTCTACAGACGCGGACCCGGGGGAGGTGCTGAGGAGGCAAGACTTTGACAAGCAGAGCCAGCAAAACCCCGGCTCCTACCTCCCAGCGGGTTCTGTCCTTTCCCAGTCTGCGTCGAGTTTTCTCTGGACAAATGAACTCATCCACAGCCGGAGGAGAAGGCAAAATCAATTTTAAGACAAAGAAAATGTGTTTCTAAATTTAAGCTTAGGAAATGATGGTGAAATCAAAATGATCATTCTTTTTATTTGTTTAATGGTTATGAACCACCTCCCTTAGTCCCTTAGGCAAACACAAAGAATAATAGGAGAAGCTCAGACTCTGAAGTCAGGCTGCCAGAGTTCGACCCCAGCCCTTCCTAGCTGTGTGTCTGTGGGAAAATTACTTAATTCTCTGTGCCTCAGGCTCCTCATTGTAAAGGGGAGATAATGCTAATGTCTACCTCAAAGGGTTGTGCTGTGTGTAAAAGATCTGATGTAGCTAAAGTGCCCCGCACACAGTCAGTCCGAGGTGGTACAAGCCTCCTCCGTATTCTGGTTGTGGAGACAACAGACAAATGATTGTAATAGAATCCGATCCGTGCCCTAGTAGAGATGGTGCAAAGTTCTGTGCGTACACAGAGGAGGAAATAAGGAACCTCACTTGGGGGTGTCAAGGAAGGATTTAAAGGGGAGTTATGTTTTAGATGGCTGCGGTGGTGGGGAGTGGAGATTTTTGCCAGAGTGAAAGCAGTGAGCAGTGAGAAGAGCAAATGCAAAGATGTAGAGGTGTAAGAACACGGTGTGCCTGGAACCCGAGGTCCTGTGGGCACTGTTTAGGCCAGCTTGCCACAGTCCACACCAAGGCTCACAGTGTGACAGAAATGACCCTCAGTGATCAGTGATTTGAGCAATAATTCCTCCTCTGTGTCTAGTTAACACTAGCCAAGTCCAGGGTGAGATTCCTATAAAGGATGCATCTAATACATACTGTTTAAACAGAACTTTTTTTTTTTTTTTTTTTTTTTTGCCATCTTGCACTAAGTAGAGCAAGCTTAAATAGGTTACCCTGAAGTTCTCCAAGACTAAAAGCTGGATTCAACTTGTCATCGATCACATCCGTCCTTTGTCCATGACTGACCTTGCACAGGTCACGTACGAACTGTGCCGTGAAATGCATCCCAAGCATCGTAGTTATGATCATCTATTTCATCTTAGACCTAAAAGAGGAACTAAAATTAAAACATAATAAAAAGATAACTCCAGAATTCATCTTTGCTTTACTTCAGAAGCTACTGGGAACTTGAGAAGCATAATAGAAAATCTAAGGAATATATCTAGGGGGTATTTTTCTTTTTTACCTTGTTTGAGAGACTGTCGAAAAGGACTTGGTCTTAGAAATCTTGTAAAGAAGGAAAATAGGAGGAAATTCAAAGACTCTGGGAAGCTTCTCCCCCAGGACCCAGCAGCATACCTTATTTGTTGTATTTCATTTTTTTTTTTTTTAAAACTGTTTTCCCAGGGCTGGGAGATCTTTTATACATGGAAATGGAGAACAGACTCCACCAATTCTAGAAATAGAGCTTCAGACTCACATTCAATGACTAAAGATAGGCTTGTAGTTGTACATTTTATTTCAGAGTGGTGAAAGGTGATCACCTTAAACTAGGTTTTCAGTATGTTAGATTTTTGAATAAATATAGACAGAGGGATTTCAAAATTCAGTAAATATCTAACTCCTAAGAAAAGCTACATCCTTTTTTTTTTTTTTACCGTTCAAGGCAAAAAAACAAGGATCCCGAAAGCAAGAAGCTT